GTTACTCAAAGCAGTCTGCTCCTCAGATAATTAATGTTATTAACTTTATATATATATATATATATATATATATGTTTCTGTTCAGTGGCCTGAGATGACTTCTGTTGTGACTTGGGGCTATATAAAGTTGAGTTGAATTGACCCATCGAAGCAGATCACGATTCAGTCATCTCGAGGATATTCTTGCTGCATCTTGATTTTCGACCACAAACCATTCATTGTTTCATCAATGGGTTTTTTGACTTTTTGTTTTTTTAATGCAGCACAGTCAAGTTCTCCAACTTTGCTTCTATTTTAGTAAAAATATCGAGTTTGATCTGAATGAAGTTAGCTTTTGAAGTGATTCTTCTTTCTGTGAACGGGTGATGAAAGTTTGATCACACCAACCAGCTCATTTCTGTAAAATGTTCCCTAAAATCTGAGGCAGATTTCCTGAGGAACTTTTTTTAATCTTTGGGAGCAGTCAGATACTTTTCCGAAAGGCTTCCTGCAAATGTGACGACTTCTTTGGGTGGAACTTGAATGAAACAGCCTGACTGATTGATATCAGTCCATATTATTTTTTTTAGTTATCCAGAAGACAACATGCCTGGATCAATGTTAGTTGAATTCCTCAGCAACTGACATGAAATCCTCCTCTCATCTTCTCGTCGTCTTCGTTTAACTTCTTAAGAGTTTTGAAAAAGAAAATGTGAACTTTCACCCCTCACCCGACATAATCCCTAAAAAATACTCTACCTTGGTGGGTTTGCTGGTCGACTCATGTCCACTTTGATGGTGAGTGTTTCTTCCGATATAATTGTCATGTTTTTGTTTTTCTGATCTTTCCATCCACTCTGACCGGACATATTAGGGTCCAATTCATTCCTTCGTAGGTTTCGTTCCAAACTTTTGGACCTGCCATCTTCCCACTGTGAGCGTCTGTCTTCAGTTGTCCAGTTAGGCTCCTTATCAAAGAGATCTTGACTGGAACGTTGGTAGCCAATTCTCTGCTCATCGTGAGGAAGATGTTGGGATCTCGATCGATTCCTGGGAGGCTCAAAATTTTCCCCTGGTCCTTGGTTGTCCCTCCACTTCCCCCTGTTGCTCACAGGACCATCCTGATTATCGTATCTCATTATGTTTGGGCTCCTCCTCATTTCACGATAGTTCGGATCCCTCAAATTGTCTTGAAACTGGCGTTCTAAACGGTTGTCTGGCCTGCCGTCTGGGGTCCTGAAACGTTCCTGAGAAGAAGCCATCGAACGGGGACTTTTCTGTCGCTCAAAGTCAGGCTCATAACGTTTGCGATCCTCAAACTCATCAAACTGCGGTGCATTCCTGTCATCAATGATGCCGTGCTCATGTTCGAAAATTAGCAAGTCTCTTTTGGCAAGGTTTCCCCGAGCATGTCCTCTAAACCCACCTCTGGGTCTGTCCGCTGAGTAACCCCGATCCATAAAATCCTCCTCACCCCCGCACCTGTTGATAGCATAAGAGCAGGTGACACTATTCAGCAGAGGTAGATGGAATCATCTTAACATCTCATTGTGTTTACTCCTAAAAACAGCACTGGGGTTTTATAGGGAGTGATATTTTTAGACTAAATAATGTTAAACAAATAACCTGCAGATTTATCATTTTAAACAGATAATTAAAATGCATGCATTATTCAATATAACAAAATATTGGAGAAATATATGAATCCTAATTAAATTAGAGGAAAATTAGGCATGAAACCAAATAGTGAGGAATCTTCATCTACGGAAAACTCAAAGGTGAAAATCTTGAGTATTCTTCACTTCCTGAAAGTGATGGAAAGTATTTGATTTATGATTTACCCCGAACGATCAACGTCATCCACTTCCCCTCTTGGTCTTTTAAAAGCAGGTCCTCTCTCATGATGTGGATTCTCCCTTTGTCTACCTTTAAACGGAACCTGTGAGCTCCTCCTTCCTCTTTCCACGTCTCCAACTCTTTGGTCACCTGATCTCTCGATGGGGTTGAAGTCTTCAAACCTTCCTTGACCCCTACCCCGACCCCTGCCCCGCTCCTGCCTCCTCAAGCTCATCCCTGCTTCTCTTGGAATGGACGACAACTGCTCTCCCTGAGGAAACGCCTCCCTGTTTTCAAAGGTCTGAACATCTTCACGAAACCCTCTTCTGCGCCTGTCGTCAAACCCTCTATCATCCAGCGGGGGATACGGCATTTCACCCCTGTGTGGTGACGCACTCTGGCGGAAAAAAGATGGGTCTGGAAGTCGCGGTCGTCCAAAGTGAGGATCATCTGGAAAAAGTGGGGGGATTTTATGGCCTCCTGGGTACATGCCATCCCTGAAGGTGTCCCGGCGTTCTTCAGAACCTCTTCCGAAGCGGTGGTCCCGTGGAAGTTCATCCAGTTCTTTAACAACTTTACGAGGGTCAAAGTCAGGTTCCCCCCATGGAAATCCCCTAAAAAATACATAATGGGTACAGAAAACAAAATGTTACAAGCTGTAAAAAAAATAATTAAAAAGTACATTACTTCGTTAGAGCGAGGCTAAAACGTTCAAAAATAAAATACCTGTAATTTGGTGACCTCGACCTCAGTCTGGACATTCTGTTAACCTTTAAGGGGAAAACAGATTATGGTTAAATATTAAAACCAAAACACAACATGTTAGCCACCATTCAAACAAAACGGATAAATGCGAGTTTAATATTAACATAAAGTGAGCCAATATAAAAAGCTTTAGTAATTTTAAAATTAACAACTTTCATTATGTTTAGTAATATTTAACAAAATGAGTTTCGATAGATTATCCAAAAGACTCTCGTGAGCATTAGCTGCTAAATAGCTTCAGATGCTAACAGAAGCTAGTTAGCAGCTAGCATCACGCACTTACCTTTCGAACACGACGAACTATCGCGGCTAAAGCTGTCTAAAGCGTGGATAAAGACACAAAACTAGCGATACAACAACCTGTGAATTAAGAATACACCCCTCCGTATAACAATTATTAACAAAGACTAGCTTAAAGTGTAGAATATTCCGTTTAACCTCGCAAAAAAAATGGCCGTTACTATATTTGCTTTTTCTCCTGCGTTCGTCCCAGACAGGAAGTAACAGGAACCAGTTCAGCTTTTCCTGTGAAGGTCTTTCAAAAGAAAGCAAACTCAATGAGTCCTGACATTTATACATTAGTGGAAACACCGTTTGTATATTTATTTAGTAACCTGGCTAAACGTTAATAATATTGAGTGTTACAAGACATCATCACCAACAGTCTATGCTGCAAAACAGTTGTCAAGTCAACACATTTTGTTTTATTTTGAAATCGTAACAGGAAGTTATGACCTGCTCTAACTACACGCTAGTGAAGATTCGCAGTCATCCAGGCCATCTATCAGCCATTTATCATACTATATATGTCTATGATCCAGGCGATGATACATTTTTAAAAGGGTTAGAAAAAACAACAACTGGACTTCTATTCTGAAGCTGAAGACGTTTTATCCAGCTTTATAGAACTGCATGAGAGGCCTGGACTGGAGACCAGATTTCTGAAATTAAATATGGGGACATGTCCAGCTTGGAGACAAAAAAATCTTAAATGTTATGAAGATTAAATTAAGAAACGGGAACAGTTACGGTTTCATTTATTTTTACATATTTATTCATGTCACAATAAAATCAAATGTAACAGCAGAAATGTCACACTGATGTTAACGTTTCCTAAGAGTAATCAGACTAATAAAGTAGTAGTAATAGAGTACTAAAACTGGGGGGCTGCTAGGGGGCCAAGTCAAATTTATTTATAAAGCACATTTGAAACAGCAGCTGTTATCAAACTATCATTTTAAAGCGACAATACTATAGTTCAGAATTTCTTATCTGGCAACCTGACTGACATAGAAACTACTGCTTTTTCATGAAAGCCCACTCTTTTTTATTACCCTCAATAAACATTGAAAAAACACTAAAGTTTCCAGAGGTTCTCGTGTAAACAGGGCCTTCGATTCTGCTGCAGGTTAGACTAGACCCACTAAATATTAGACGTCTAATGGTCGTCCAGATTACGTCTATATTGGGTCCGTTGGTCGAAGACCAATTCTGGACGTTCCCCCGACGTGCAAACAAGGTCTACTTTTGGCCGTCTAACCATGACCGCATTTGTACGTCAATATAACGTCAGACTTGGAGGTCATATAGACATCATTTTTTTGCGCTCTCAGGACATTATTACCTGCAGTGTTCCCTCAATGAGGACTGAACTAGGCAAAAGGGCCTTCTCCTATTCCGCTCCTGTTTCCTGGAACATCTTACAAAAAGATCTGAAGCTCTCGACCTTGACCTCTCTAAGTGGCTTTAAGAATCTGTTGGACACCTGGCAGGGTCCAATGCTGACATGTTCCTGTTTTTAGTTTTCTACATTTGTCTTGGAATCTAACTGTTTTTTGTTTTGTTACCTTTTCCTTTTAGCCATTGTTGTGGATAGAATACCACGTCGTGTTCAAAACGGCGGAGGCGTCGCCCTTCGTATAAAAGATTTATTTGACACAACATGGGTTACAGATATTCAGAGACAAACAGTTACATTAATAAGATATATGCATATAAATGGAGCATTAAGAACAAACCGCCTCGTGCGTGCCTCTCTGAAAATGCTCAGTGCGCGTGCGTCATTCCCGGCCTTTTATCCCCGTCTGAGAAGGCTAGCTTCCTGATTGGTTCAGCTTCTGTCGCTATGGTTACGACGTAGCCCGCCCCCTCAAGGACGTTACGTCTATATTTCAGATAAGTTTTGGTTCGGCTTTTGTTTAGTTTAACTTGCTATTATACTTTAGGGATATAAAATGATTCGTGTCTAAATTGTTTATGCGTAATAATTAATAACTATTAATTATTACCTACCTCCTGGGTGTTACTTCAATATCTGTTGGAGGTCTGGTGATTCTGTTTTTAAGGCAGATTCATCTTAGTTTCTGTGTCTGCGTTTAAAACCGTTAACACTGTTTGTTAAACGTGATTATACCTTAGTGATAACACTGATTTGAAATAGTTGTTTATTTCTAGGAATAATTATATTATCGAACTTATGTTCGTGTTTTTATTTGGATCATGGTTATACTCTTAATTTGATTTATTAGTCAAACTATATTGTCTAAATTAAAGAGCTGTTCTAGCTTTATTTATGTTAATCAGTCTGCTCTCTGGCCTGATTTGATTGCTTGTAATTTATCAAATGTGAACTTGTAAAATTATCTTTAGCTACTATGAGATTATATTTAAAGGTCAACTAGTTAGAATTAGCAAACACTTTCTATAAACATAGTTCAACCTTGGAAGAAAGACACACACACACTTTATATGACATGACATTTGAGTGCTTGATAGGAATTATAAAAAGGTATAAAATATTAAATCCAACATTCCCTCTTTTGAACTCCCATATTCATGGGAGTTCACCCTCTTTATGGATTTATTTATCAATATGGATGTGACCCAAACTTACTGCACTCCCCAGGGGTCCTGGACCAGACCCCTGATCCAACACCTGTGAAAAGTACCACACACATAAACTTTTATAAAAATACAAAAAGCAGCAACACACCTCCTAGAGAAAGATAAATAAGTGAAACTATTTTAAACCACCTTTAAAATACCTCGTGGTATTTTAGAATGATCAAATGCCTAATTGAATGGAGTAAAATATTTGAATATTTAAGTTACTGAATATTTAAGTTTATAGTCAAGTTAAATGTATAGTTAAGTTTCCAATTGAATCCCCGACCCTTCTCTGGTTGTTTTTCAGAATGACTGAAAGGTAAGACAAAATACTCATATTAAACAGGAAAAGCCAACACCCTTAATTGAAACATTTCTATCTAGCAGGTCTTCGGTTCTTGAGCTCGCGGTGGGAGCCCTTGTTCGTCCACAAGGGTCCTTTGGTGCTCGGCGGGATTCGGCCCGCGGAGTCATCTTCATGTAAAGTCCTCAGAACCGTATCAGTTTGATTAAACATTCTAAATGACGTGTGTGTATTGGGACAAAACTAAAATCAGTTTGACGTGTCTTCTGTTCTTCACGGTCAGGGCTGGTAATCTTCCGTCCTTACCCGATCCACCCGACCGACTTCAGGCAGAGCGGAGACTTCTTCTCCGATGTTTGCTACTGCCTTTTCCCAACCAGAACAAAGGGGCAAAGAATGAGCTCCCACGAAGGTCCTGTCACCTCCTCCAGGTGTAGTGGGGAGCTGTCTTCAGATCATCCTCCATGTGGACCAGCGATCGATTCCTCTCCTCTGCAGGGATGCCCTGGTGGGGTCGTACAGGTGCCACTCTCCTTCTGGGGACCGATGACATATGATGTTCTGTCCACCACCTGGTGGGGTCTTGTCCTGTCCCTCTTTTCAGCAGGACTCAGTCTGATGTGAGTTTGTCTCCTCGGTCAGAGTTCCTCCCTCCTGATGAGAAAAGCTGGACACGAAAGCTCGCGAATTGTTAAACACCCTGCATGGCCTTTTGATTATTTTATCTGTGGGATCCATGACCTGGGCCTGGAAAACTGACTGTGGTTACTTCTGTAGTGAATAAAACCTATTTTCTGAATTATTGGACACCCTGATGGTTATTATTGCTATTGATAGGTGTATTATTAAACTGTAATGTTATCCTAAAACAGAATCAGTAAAACTAAAATAAAATGCTCTTCTTACATGCATCTGTTCACTTGAAGCTGAATTGTGTTACATACTGGACTTCTCCAGGTATACCTGTGTGCTCTCATCCCATCTGTCACCCTTACAAGCCTTCGTCGTCAACCGGTCTACCTACAATTAAAATTAAACATACACAATACAACAATAACAATAATAATCAACCACGCCGGCCCCTCTTCCTGGAGCCTGTGGAAGAAACTTCATTAAATCGCTTGCGCCAACAGCATCAATCAAAATACAATATAACTTAAAAGCTTAACCAACTGACATACAACACTGTGAGAGAAAAAAAATAATTAATCTTCCATCCAGGTACCTGTCTGTGCTAGAGAAGGGAAGAAATAGCAAGGAAGAAACAGAGAGAAAAGGGAAAAATAAAAGAGAAAGAGAACGAGGAAAAAATGGTTAAAATCCTTTGTTCATGAAACCTTTTCTTATTCGCCCAATTAAACTATAAGTCCAGTCCAGTCCAGTCAAGTCAGTTGTGTTTAAAATTATCAAACCACCCCATTTCCCTTTAACATTTGCTCAAATCCACCTCAGGCTAGGGGCGTCCCCCTTTCTGGAATCTGTACACATTACAACAAAGAGAAAAAGATACTTCTGTTAAACCGATATACATATATACAAGTGCAACGTGTTATGTAGGTTTCTGATTTATTCATTTCCCACTGTCAATTTGATTACCCTACATGATATGATCTTTTAATCGCCTCAGAAGAAGTTAATTTTGTATAATTTGTAATGATCTATGAACTGCTTCCTGCTCAGAGCTGCCTACACACCTCCCCCCTTTTTGAAACGGCATTGTTTCAAATCTGAAGCATTACCGTCTGCAATCCACTAACACTCAGATTGAGTATTAGTTACAGAACTAAAAATATGGTCTAGTTTTAAACTTCCCACTACTGTTATTCAACCCAGGTTTTGCAAACAATTAACCAACTACAACCCAAGCTCTCCTATAAATTAGCAAAAGTTAATCATTAAATAAATTTCTTCTCTTGTATCAAACCAGACCCACCAAAATTAGCCCCTTCAAGGCAAAGACAATCATCCAGTGTTATTTTAGAAAACATTAGTGAACTGCATCCAAATCAGGTCTCAGGTTTCTCCTGAATGAGACTTCCTGACCTGTATAAACGGAAAGTTAAAATCAATATTTTGTTCAGGGGTATGGAGCATTTGAGGTAATAAAACAATTTCCATCTCAGAGCAGTTGGAGCAGGCGAATCGTCTAGCACTCCCACCTCTGTACGTCTGTGTCCTGTTGTGTCACCTGTTTTAAAATGAGTCTATGTGAATGATTATTATCAAAGCCAGCTGCAGTTTTTGATCACGACCCCAAAGTGCCTAGATGACCATTACAGACCAAAATGTGGGGTTGACACCTCCGTCCGGCTGCAG